ATTTCAGGATGAAACGTGCTCCTCATCCAAGTACTAGCATAACTGCATTCATGTTACAAAATAATTCAACATGTGCGCAACATAAAAAGACACAATATTCTATCTTTGACAATTGATCATCAAAAGGTTGCGCTTTTTTTACAGCCTACAATTAAGTCGCGCAAATTTGCAGAAGGGTCTAATTTAACATAAGCTCAAGCAATATAAGTGAAGTTTTATTTCGCCAATTTAGATTCGGTAAAACCAAAGTACGAATTGGGACGTAAGTTAGACTGTTTGACTTTATTGCCTGCTATTCAAATGCTACAAAAAGTACTTTTGTTGTTTGAAAGCATTTGTATAGCAGAACTTTACTCTAAATCTGCTTTTATGTTGCTAAATAGATGTATCTTGTGACTAATCGTATTTTCCTATTTTAGATCAATAATGTCATGGTACACAGCAGCAAAATGGAAAACGGAATGGTTTCGGTAACATTTTCAAGGCCGGTCAACTCAATGGAGTATCCGTACGACAGTTCACTTCTTGGATGCGTACCTTGGAAGGTAAGCTACTTTTCCAACAACTTTGAGGTTAAATCTTGATTTTTCTAAAATTTACGGTTAATTCCAAGTTTTATTCCTTCCAGTTCCTCATCGGCCTTAACCGTATGGGTCCACATGGTGAGCTTCATCACCACATGATCACCCCTGTTCATAGAACTGTCTGTATTGACGAATGCCGGATTTAAGGTTCGGAATGGTTTAGCGTAGTTCATATGGGTCAAATGGGTTAAATGCATTGCACTACTGTAAAGTTTCACCTACTTAAATTCTGTAACTTAGCTCGATGGTGTCATCATGTTATATGTACATTTGACAAAGAATGTTATGCTTTATGAAGCGATATATCGGTTCACAATAAAATCTCTGCATACACTTTTTTCAAGAAAGAAATGCATAGGCTGTAATTCGAAGGACTGTGAAAGTTGCTATGATAAGAATAGATTGGTTAGACCCGAATGATTAGCTGAGAAGGTTTTTTTGGATATTTGAGTTCGCATTACACATGGTACCTGGAATAGAGCAATTGTATTCAATATGAAAGTTGTCAACGCTAAATGGACTCAGCACAGGTCTTACGTTTAGCCTTACGGAAACGAATTATGCTTGGAAATCCCGAGATACGAAATCCTTTGATAAATTTAGAAAGTGTATACTAATACATAATGATGCCCCAGTTCTACAAAGCACCTTGTCTAAATAACTTACGAGTTTGAAGTATTGAAGCATGCAAAGACGTTAAAGATGTTTTCTTGGATACAGAATCCATATGACCTAGTGCTGAGCCCTGGTGGCGGAAGCTGAAGTGAGAAGGAAATGGGAAATAAGTAATCAAAACCAGTTCTACTCGAAGTCGTCAAAATATGCACTATACTGGGATCTACTAAAAATCACAGAGAAGTTGTTGACAGTCACAACCTGCTAAGTTGACTTATATTGTTCTATCACTTGCCTAGTTACTATAAATCCCAACTAAATAAGTGATGCTTTATAAGCATATCAGTAACCCCTTTTTTCAAAGGTTCTTCTCCATTTTGCTTCAAATCGCCCGTCATTACGGTGGACATTATCTTCTTCTTCGTGCTGGTCATCATCTGGAATTCCGAATATGACACAATTTCAGCGAAGTTCGAGAGAACAGACAACAGATGGAAGCGCTGTAAACTTACACCC